AGAGAGAGAGAGAGAGAGAGAGAGAGAGAGAGAGAGAGAGAGAGAGAGAAAAGGAAAGAGTGCGGAGGATAAAGAAGAGAAAGCGCAACACAATCCTTAGCGCGTGAAAGATACTGGAATTCAAAAAAATATGAGTGACGAACATGGATTCCAGCCACGGACGTCTCGACGCGTTTCGGCTGCGTCCGTGAGCAGCCATCATCAGGGGACTTCGAAGTGCGCTAAGGAACAGACTACCTCCCAAGCCTTAAATACTCGAACTGTAGCATAGTTGATCCCACCATCACAACTGAAACCTCCACATAGTGTCCGTCGTATGGTAGCCAGTGGCTCCAAGAGACCTGCTGACGCAATCTGAGTAACTTCTCAATCTAGCCATAGGGGAGAGAAACAGGAGAAACGTGGGAAGCATAGAAGTTGAGAAAGCCCGTGGGAGGAGGCGGGAGGGGAACGGAGAGAAAGCACACGGTACGCTGTGGGTAGTCAGAAGAAGACGAAACCGGACAAAGAAAGATGGCGGAACGCCGATGTAGGAGTCAGAATGGGATGCCAGAGATGTAGTCAAATCCGTGATGAATCAGCTGGAGAGAGATGCTGAAAGTGTCGCGTAGGAAAGCCGTAGCGAATGTTCTGGAGAGCGGCGCGGTATGCTGAGCAGGTGTATAGAGCCGAATGAGATGCCAGGATTGTCATGCCCTAAGGACTGCGGACTGAGACAAACAGGAGCAGGGTGAGGGAAGATGCGGAGTGTCGCGTACTGATGACGTAGATAGGACTCATTTATAAAAAGCGGGAAAAGCAAAAGAAGAGGGGCGGGAAAAGCAAAACAAGAGGGGCGGGAGAAGCTACAGAAAAAAGGAGCGGGAGGAGTCCGTGGAGGAGGCACATATGGGCGGCCAGAAACAGATGGAAAGGTGGGGGGGGAAAAAAATTACGGGGGTCTGAAGCCGATGGGATGCTGTATCTTGGGGCGTCGTCGATACTCGGTACCTAGGCCAATATCAAACAGTCTGACCCATAAATCCCAGCACCCTCCTTTTACTGAGGAAAAATTCCTGAGGGTGTTGTCGAAAATCCTAGTTAGGAACCCTTTGAGACGAAATTCCTTCCTCAAAGCTCGCAACACCACTCCAACTCCTCTATTGTCTGAGGAGTGGGATAATATTCTGCTGAGATGACCCTTCACCACACCTTTCTTTTGGTTGATTGACCCGTATGAAGAGTAGTCTTGTGTAGACAGAATTTGAATGGGTGAGTCACTCCAAATACAATCCTGATGCTTGGTGATGGCCGTACATCGAACTGAAGGAGGTAGCGAAGAGCAGTTTATATTGCAGCCCAAAAAATTCCAACATCCTTTGCGATCATCAGTCCTTACCAGGGATAACTGGTTGTCCTATGACTGCTCAAATTTTCGCAGGATATCAGCAGACTTCTTATTCGATATCAGATCATTTCTCGGTAAGAGGATAAATACGCTCACATCGTCTACTAAACGAATACCAGTAATAAATTGGGCGTCAGTTCCCAGAGAGTGAAGAAAGTTAATTTCATTAAAGGAACAAAGAAGGCACGCCAGAGCGGGGCTAAAACTTTTTCCCATGGGAATACCAATCGTCTGTTGGATAATAAACGTAGAGACACATGAGTAGGTATTGAGAAGATCAAAGGTTACGAAATCGAAGATCTGTTTGAGTTTTATAGAAACCCATCCACTCACCCCATTCCCTTTGCTTAGTGAGACTTCCTTTCCTTGCCTGTTGACCCTGACACATCGTACACCCATACCCAAGTAGAAGTAGCAAATCTAATCCAGCGCTCTCAGAATAGACCCATGGGGTAGTTTAGTAAACATTTTTTTAATGTTATAGCGAGCGGATATCATTATTCCATTCTTCCTTTTTTCGGATTGTCTATCAAGTGTCAAGATTCTTTCTGTGAGCTGATTGGTGGATTTCAAATTGAAGTTGGAAGCACGAGGAAGGTTCCAGAGTAGAAAGTTGATTGCTCTAGACACCACTTTGCAGACTCGTACGCTAGGTTGAGAGAAGGAGGGGGAGATAGGTCGCCATTGAGAAATATCCTTATGCTTGGGAAAGTCGTAGCAGCGCCCTAGTCTCCCCTTGGGGTTCCAGCGGGCTATCCGACACGCATTGATATTGTCGTACTTATTTTTGCAAAGTTTTATAATATCATCCTCGGTTTTTTATATAATAGTAAAACCCTCATTTTTCCAAAACAGTTTTGCGAGCGCATTATAGTAGATGCTCATACAACAGACAAGCGAGTCCCCCGCATTGTGGTCTATGGGTGCAATAACTAAGCCCTCAAACAGGTTGAGCCAGACGTCAAGACTGAGAATGGTAGCACCGGTGTCTGCAGGTTTATCGATGGTATAAGATTTCACTTCCTTATTACGTATAATTCTATCATTCGGCAGTCGGCATAGGCCCTCCCCGAGTGCAGTTTTCAACACAGAAGGAATTACATGCAGAGGTGGAGGTAGAATATACCGGGAGTTACGCAAAATCTCAAGCATCTCGTCAAATTGCGAGATCCAGATTTCAAAATGCCCATCTTTATTCCTCGGTAGTTCAGGGCAGGACGCAGTACAGGAGCAGAATTCTTTGGCAGTTGATGCCGACGAGCGGTGGTTGTGCAAGCTCTGACCGGTACTTCTGTTCTTTGTCCACACAAATCTGAGTCTGGAAATAACTAAATCGGATGAAAAGTCAGATCGACATCTCTGTCGGATCATCCTTTTACATAACTCAACAACACTCTTCTTGGAAATCAATTCATTATACCGAATTTTTATAACAGTTGGGGAGGTATAGTTAAAGCCCACTTTCTTCCTGATGACAACCCCCACAATACTCCGCAGAACAGTCTGAGTATTGGCAGAAGTAAAGGAATCAATCACGTGATACAGTCGGATCAGCGCCTTAACTTCAAAAAAATACAACAATATTTTAGAAGGTGGGAACTGTAGTAAGGATAGTAGTACGAACTTGCGGGATACATGCTGGTTATGACTCATACGGAGTTGGGTTATAGTGAACACACCTCCCGAGCACAGTTCCGACCAAGCATCCTTCAGCAAGATCCTGGATCCATTAATCTCTAGGATGGTCCATCCAAACAATTTTCTTAATTTCCCCCATCCTCCTAGATAATAACCCCCCACACTGGAAAAACAAGAAGCGAAATTAACCCCAGAATCCGTAAGATCTTTCAAAGTATCACAAAGTGTGTACGTGCTAACAGCATTAGTTCTTACGAATGAGCTATGTGTCCGAAATCGGATTCAACAGGGGGTTTGAGTTGAACGGTTCAACTCTCATTCAACTCTCGTTTCAACTCCCCGTTGAACTGAGTTGAACGTGGTACAACTCGACCCGCGGATTTTTGTTTTGCAGGCAAAACATTGGTGAAAAAATAATTAAAAAATATAGAAGTGTAGATTTTTTTGCTTTCCACATTCCCATATTTTTATGTTTATTTTTTTAGCATTACAATTATTTTTTAAAAATCAAAAACAAAACCAGACTCAAAACATAGAGATTTGTTTTCCTTTTTTTTTTTAATTGAATGATTGATTGATTGATTGGTGGGGGATGGGTCGCCCCCCCAACCCCCACCCAATCACACACACACACACACACACACACACACACACAC